AGCACCCACAGTATCAAGATCTACTGGAAGAGGTGTGGCAAGTGGAGGTTAGAGGTGTTCCATATTTTCAGTTATACCAGAGATTGAAGGCGTTAAAGCTGAAGTTGAAGGGGCTTAATCGTTCTCAGTACTCTGAAATTTCTGTCAGGGCTAGAGAAGCAGAGGCTAAGTTGGAGGCAATGCAACAAGCAGTGTTGGCTGATCCTTCTACTGACCTTGCTAATGCCGTAGTGGACCAGGAGGAGGTTTGTAGAGGGTTGCAGAAGGCGGAGGAACAGTTTTATAGGCAGAAATCGAGAATAAGACGGATCACTGAGGGAGATTCAAATACTAAGTATTTCCACAGTATGGTAAAAGTCAGGAATCATAGACAGACTATCCACAAACTTGTGTCTGAGGAAGGGGAGGTGATTACAGAGGTGAAGGCGATGGGGCAGTTAGCTGTTGATTTTTACAAGGGGTTGCTTGGTCAGGCTGATTCTGCAGTGCAGGACATGCCTTTATCATACTTTGAAAGTCTTCTTCATCACAAGCTTGGGGAGGCTGATGTTCAGACTCTGTTGGTTCCTGTTACCAGAGAAGAGATTAAGGCTGTCTTTATGGGGATGGGGAATGATAAGGCACCGGGACCAGATGGGTTTACTGCTGAGTTTTTCAAATTGGATTGGGGGGTTGTAGGTGAAGCAGTGGAAGATACAGTCCTCAGTTTCTTTCAGACTGGTATAATGCCTCGGCAGGTAAATTCTACCATTATTGCTTTGATTCCTAAGCTTGAAGTGGTGGATAAAATGAAAGATTTTAGGCCAATTTCTTGTTGTAATGTGGTCTATAAGGGAATATCAAAGCTGTTAGCAAATAGGCTCTCCTTAGTGTTACCTAAGCTAATTGGAGTTTGTCAATCTGCTTTTGTTAAGGGTCGATTGATCAGTGATAATATCCTAATGGCTACAGAGCTTGTTAAGGATTATCATAGGGCCTCAATCTCATCTAGATGTGTGTTGAAGATTGACTTGATGAAAGCGTTTGATTCAGTAGATTGGAATTTCCTATTGAAAGTTATGGAGGCTATGAATATTCCTATGAGTTTTATCAGGTTAATTAGGGCTTGTGTCACCACTCCCATGCTGAGTGTGGCGTTTAATGGGGGGTTATGTGGGTATTTCCCAGCAGGCAAGGGGTTAAGGCAGGGGGATCCACTGTCCCCCTACCTTTTCACTATTGCCATGGAAATTTTCTCATGTATGCTTGCTAGGGATGTGTCACAAAACCTCATTCCATATCATCCAAGGTGTAAGAGTCTTGAGCTCACCCACCTATGCTTTGCGGATGATTTGCTGGTTTTCTCCAATGGATCAGTCAGGGCAGTTGCAGGGGTGCAGAGGTTGCTTGACAAGTTTTATCATGTTTCTGGGTTGAGATGTAACTTGGCCAAGTGTCAACTGTTCTGTGCGGGTATCTCTAAGGAAGAGCAGCAGTGGATTTCAAATATTACTGGTTTCCCTCTAGGAGAGCTACCAGTGAGATATCTTGGGGTGCCTCTCCTATCAGGTAGACTGTCAGCTCAGGATTGTAGTACATTGGTGAACAAGATTACTAAGAGGATTACGACCTGGCAAGCTAAAACCCTTAGCTATGCAGGGCGGATTCAATTAGTTTCTTCGGTTATTACCAGTGTATTTCAGTATTGGATGGCGGTTTTCCTCTTGCCAATGCGAGTCTTGAAGTCTATTGAGGATGTGTGTAACAAATTCTTGTGGGGGGTTGGAGTGAATGGGCGCAAGAGAGCACCAGTGTCCTGGTCCAGGGTTGCTATGCCTAAAATGGAGGGTGGATTAGGGATCAGGGACTTCAAAACATGGAACAAGGCATGTGTTTTAAGGCATTTGTGGAATTTGCTTGCTAAGGCTGGTTCACTATGGGTTGCTTGGATCCAGAAGTATAGGATCAAAGGGAATGATTTATGGGGGATTGCTGCAAACTCTGTAAGCTCATGGGTGTGGAAGAAGGTCCTTAAATGCAGGGAAGTGGCCCATGCTCATGTGAATGGGACAGGAAGTAGCCTGACTTGGGATGGAAAGAAGTTTGTGAAGTATTCAGTTAAGACTGTTTGGAATTCCATACGTATCCCCTCCCCTTCAGTTGACTGGTTCTCTGTGTTATGGGGTAAGCCATTTATAATGAAGCACAGTCTGTTGGTCTGGTTGGTGGTTCTAGATAGAATTACTACGAAGGATCACCTTGCTAGCTGGGGCTTGACAGATGTGAATAGCTGTGTTTTATGCCCTGGTGGCCTTGAAAGCAGGGATCATCTGTTTTCCTTGTGTTCGTTTAGCAAAGCTGTCTTTCAAGTTGTGTTGAAGAAAATATGCAGGTGGCCGGATTTCACAGATTGGAGTTCCCATCTGAGCTGGGTGGTGCAGAAATGGTCGGGTACAACTTCGGCTGCTAAGATTGGGCGGTTATTGTGGGTGATGTGCTGTGCTTACATTTGGAGGGAAAGGTGCACTCGCGTCTATGGAGTCAAGCGAATTTCAGACCCTTCTCAACTTTCAGTTGCTGTTATGCAGGAGTTCGAGATATATGCTAGTAGTACTATAGAATTACAGAAAATGGCATCAGTTGTAATGAGCTGAAAGGGTTTTGGTTTCTTTTGGTTGGCATAGAGATTAGTATAGGTTACTGTGTAAAGAATGTTGATCTTTTGAGAGGGTGATGCGAGTTGCATCTCCCTGGGCTTTCAATGCAATTTTGATTAACCATAAAAAAAAAAAAAAAAAGTTAAACTCATGGCCCAATACAACAACATAGGGGTGGACATTGGTGCGGCCAAACCGCTCCAAACCGCACCGAACTGCTTTTGCGGTCGAGCCAAACCTCATCGTACAACTTACGGTCTAATATGCGGTCTAAATTTTTAGAGGCTCGCGGTTCGTGGTCAGATTAATCCAAAACCGCACGGTTGCGGTTCAAAACCGCAAACCCCATATTTGGATGCATTGTCACTGCTTTATTGGATGCAGCGTCCGTAACCTGGGAACTGGGAAGTAGGGATGGTAAATTACCCACCCATGGGTAATTATACCCAAACCCAAGTAGACCCATCGATAATGGGTTGGGTATGGGTGAAGTGCATATGGATTTGGGGGTTTATAGATGGGTTTGGGTAAGGTATGAATATTGCTTCCATAATCTAAATGGGTATGGGTTGGATATGGATATCCATTTACTTGAGGGTGTTTTAACTACACATGCAAAAATTGGACCTATTTGTAAAACTTGAAAAGTTTAGGTACCAAAATGTAAGACAAAAAAATTTAGGTACCAAAACCTAATTTTCCATTGATATTTTGAGGACTTATATGCAAAAAAATTAAATTTAGAGACTAAATATGCATATTTATTAAGTTTGGGTACCAAACTGTAATTTGTATTTGGGCATGGGTACAAACCCAAATCCATTTGATATAAATCCAACTCAACCCAAAGTAAATGGGTATGGGTACAAACCAATCGAACTCTACTCATATCCATTTATTTGGATTTCATACCCAACCGAATTCTTTCCAGCAGGGATAGCAACTTTGCCCATTCCCATGGGTTTTTTATTATCCAACCCGCAGGGATAGCAACTTTGCCCATTCCCATGGGTTTTTTATTATCCAACCGTTGGATAATAAAAAACCCATGGGAATGGGCAAAGTTGCTATCCCTGCTGGGAAGACAGCGTACGATTTAATTGTAGTCAATACTCAATATAAGCTGGATACATCATTACGGCTTTGGTTTAGAATTACACTCACCATGTGCTTTATTTTGTACTGTTTTGTTTTCCCCTTTTTATTCTCATAATTTTGATTAATAAAATATATCACTAATAGCAAAACAAATAGGTTTATTAAAGTTAAACATCAAAGAAACTACGCCACATTCATAAACGTACTAGACTTGTTTCCATTTTCAACCATTACTAGATAGGATTTTAATTTTGTGTTAGAATTAAAAATCATGTGTGTAGAAAGTGAATTCAAATTTGTCAATTCAATTATTCATAGTGCATATTATATTGCGGTCTCATATGCGGTGCAGTTTTGCTTATTTAGACGGTTCGGTTTGACCGCATCGATTAAATTACGGTCTAATGTGGGATGCAGCCAAAATAACATGCGGTGGGGTGCAGTTTGTGTTAGGGATGTCAATCAAACCCATGGCCGCGGGTAGCCGACCGCCCCCGACCCAGTCAACGCGGGTAATCCCCGCTTTGATCGGGTATGGGGCGGGTATGGGTAAAACCCGCAAAAAGTTTGATGGGTATGGGGCGGGTATGGTTTTAGCCTCCCCCGCCCCATACCCATACCCATATCCGCCCAACCAAGAGAATTTCTTCACATATACAAAAACATGTGGATCAAATTGTTATCTATTAATGGTGATGAGGATAACTCAAGGAAATAAATAGTAGAAATGCAATTGAGTGACCACTTTAATCAAAACCTAATTCATTTTCCTCAATTCTCCTTTCACTCTTTCACTTTCCCCCTTGTCAACAAGATTATGTTAGTTAATTATTACTTAGTAGATGTATAAGAGTTAGAACATAATAATTTCAAAAATGTTATACTCTATATTATATATTAATGAATGTTTTAGGATCATATTCTTTGAACCATATTAAGAAAATGATCGTGTTTTGTTGAATTCGTGATATAATAGGTACGTTTAGAGTTGTAGTTAAAAAATTTCTTGTGAATTTTTGGATAATAGTGTTGGATGTACGGGTACGGGTATTACCCATGGGTACCCGAAACCCATGGGTATGGGGATGGGTTTGTCGAACATTCCCCCACATGGGTATGGGGCGGGTATGGGTTTGGATATTTGAAGATGGGGATGGGGATGGTTTAGACAAACCCGCCCCATTGCCATCCCTAGTTTGTGTCAATGCTGTGCGGTTAAAATCATGTGTAGAAAATGAATTCAAATTTGTCAATTCAATTATTATAGTCCATATTACATTGCGGTCTCATATGCGGTGCAGTTTCGCTTATTTTGACGGTTCGATTTGACCGCACCGATTAAATTACGGTCTAATGTGGGATGCAGCCAAAATAACATGCGGTGCGGTTCGAAACGCACCAACAAAAGCCTCAGGCGCATCAATGTCAAAATTGTCATACAACAACCTAAATGTTTTAAAACTCGTCAGTTTGCAACTTTTGCATCCAAATAACCCCAAAAGACTACGAAATTGATACAAGTGCTTTCGGGGCTAAGGTTCGAGAAACAATTAATACAATTGGCATCTAATCAAACCTTCCAAGTCCCTGGCCATACCAAGATGGTTGCTTGCTGGCCAAAACTGAACGAGCCTACTTGTCATTGTTTAATCACTTTCAAAATCATCTTCGTCCCCAAAAGTGAACACCGAAGCATCAGCAGCCATCGCCTTGATCTCGCTGGCCCCGGAGTCCAACCTAGGCGTTTCCACGCTTGCAGACTGTTTCTGACTGGCGGGTGGCTCGCTGCTTGCACTTGGCTGTGAAGTTCCCTTACTAGCGAGACTCATGTGCTCCGTCCCAAGAGTCAAGTTGTTCATTTGTTCTGCAGTGGATTTAGCCGCTTGACTAGTAGGCTGAGCAGCTTGACCTTGCTTGCTCTTTGAAGCTGCTTCGGTTTCCTCTTCATCGCTGTCGGAGAATACATCGTCTTCATCATTCCTCTCTGACGCTTTCTTTTGATTAGAAGACTTCGGAGCAGCAGCAGCTCCTCCTATATGCACTGTTGCAGCAGAACTTGAGTCGGTAGCACTGTTTGATCCCTTGCTTGCTGGATCGGATTTTGTGGTTACTGGTGAAGTGCCGTCGTAGTCTACCATCACAATCTCAACCTCGAATCCTGGAGAAGGAAGTTTCCTCTGCAGAAATGCAGTTTCAACAGCAGACTACCGATCAGGGGGAAAGAACTCTGACAAGCATCTAAAAGACCGAATCTGTAGTTACCTTGTCGAAGCCATCAAGTTCATCCCCCGTTAGCGTTTTCCTGTTCTCTGTCATCGTAGTATTCAACCAGCTAACCGCAAAAGAGATGAGAAAATGTTTATTTTCAGACAAGAAATAAGGAATGTGCTTACGTATTGTGCAGGCTCAGGAGCAAGTAGCATTTCGAAGTAGATTTTGAGGTTAGCAGAGTTGACTAACCAGTAGAAGTCCCCCTGACGGTCATGGAAGTGGATTTTGAAGTCCCCAATCAGCTCGGTTAGACCAGGTTCTCCTGGCAGAGCAAAGACAACAATTCCTTTCCTTCGGGCACTGATCCAAAAGTCCTCAGGCTGAATCAGACAGTTCGACACATTAGTTCAAAAAGCTTTCAAGATCTGAAGGGCCACGTATTAATCAAAAGAGTGATACGAAAAGACTTGAATGAAGAAGGATTACCATCAAATCCTTGGTTTTTGGATGCTTTTTTGTTGAGAATAGAACTCCTGTAAGAATGGTAAAAACCTCGTTTATATATCTACATATAGGACATTTTTAACGAGAAACAAATAAGGTTCTGTTCTAGCAGCAGAACAATGTGTATTTCACTGTGTCGAGTTTCTACAGATCAGTGGCGGAGCTAAGTGTAGCTCAGGAGGGGCTAAACCTACTCCATTTTTATCTAAGGTTATAATGTGTGTATTCATATCTTCAGAATAAAGTATAAACTGGTAGGATGGGGCTAATAGCCCTCCGTCATACAAAATTTAAGTTCAATCATGCAAAGCTGTTGCAGGCAGCTTACTATTTTTCAGCCCCTCCTCACTCCAAATCCTGACTTCACAACTATACAGATCTATTTCATAAGCTGATATATTGTCGATGTAGTCTTCCATTAAAAATGAGCATAACAAAACAAGGACTCATTTCTGACGGACTTACTTCAGAAGTTGTGAAGTTCAACATGAAGACAGACTTGGACTTTAGTGATCTACTCAGGAATCATAAACTGCATTGTACAGTAATTCTAAACTTTCATGTGGATTTACATATACCATCATGATGCAACACGGAATTCCCGGTACATACAAACTGAACCAACCGAAGCATGGAAATGATGAATTTTTAAGACAAAACAAGAACAACCTACCACTATGATTGGAGATGGTGATAGAAGGCCGTATCCAATAAGGGCATTTGTGAAGCCGAAAACCCCGAAGCATGCACCTACATCAGATCAATACACGTTCAGCAACTTCTGGAAATGAAGGCATACGAACTTATAAACATTAGTAACAAAAGAATCACAGACCTCCGTCCAGGCTGAATTTCCCCATTCAAATAAGTCTGAATGCGCTCAAAGTATTTGACATACCTCTGGAAGGAGAAACAACAACAAAATAATCAGAGCACTTATCAGAAAAGGGAAGAGATCAACAACCATCCAAAGTACTTGAGATATGTAAATAAATATAAGAATGAAACCAACTAACAATCTGACTTGGGAGAACTAAAGCCTTCCCGTCTATGCATCTTTTCTTGTTGAAGTAATCAATGGCCTCCTCAGCAGTCGGAAAGAACTGCAGTAGAAACAAAGGATGACATTTTTTTTTTAGATGGAGACATCATCATACCCTCGGTCCAAACAAATACACCACTAATCATTGATGAAACGAGATGGGACAATATTACCTTAAGAAATAGAAGAAGGCTACAGATCATCAGACCTGTCCTGCCCATTCCAGCTTTACAATGGACTACCACTACATTTTCAATATCCTCCTTCAACCACGAGTATGCACTTTGACAAAATAATTTGATGAGTTGAAGCGGAGGGCAATTGTGGTCATCAAATGGAAAACATGCCACCTGGTCAAATAATCAAAAGAAGGCACACTTTCTATAAGTAAAATAAAACTAAATGGATAAAGAGAGGACTGGTCCTGAACTAGAGCTCCCATTCACGAGAACCACGGAGTACAGTAGCAAAACAAGCTTCAACTCTGGTTTACAGTCCCCAGCCAGACATAAGACAAAGCTATTATATGTTTTCTGTTCTCCCGCAGATCGTTCAAAGAGAATGCATCTTTTCAAAGCTAAGATTTCATTCTTTTTCTTCAAGGAAAACTACAAATTTCGTGAACAGGTAGCCAGTAACGAGGAAGACTGTAACCATACCTTCCCCTCGAAACGTGCAGCGTCATACAATCGCTCGGCACATAGATTGTAAACTTTGTATTTCCCCTGCATCAATGGCAAGAGGTATTTAATACACTTGCATAGACAAACAATCAATGAATTTCCACATGAATGAACCTATTACTACTGCTATCAATGCTCTTGGGAAATGGTACCCCAGGGTGAATTTAAGTTGATCCAGCGATGATTTAATTTCATATAGTTACTTCAACTCGATACAGTGAGTGGATGAAAATAGTTGCATCATCACAACCAGGCTGAAACCAGTTATACTAATATCCAACAGTGCACCAAGTGAGTTCAGAACATAAACTACCTTGTGGTGACTCTCAAAAAATCTGATCACTTCCTCCATGTGATTCCGATAGAACCCCTACATAAAAAAAAAATTATGTATTATTAAGAGAAAGAATTTCTAAGGAGCTACTCCATTCTGCGTGTCCATGTCTCGCAACAGGACTTACCTCAAAGAACCCGAAAAGCCCAGAGCTCAAATCACCAGCCGGGAACCCCATAGCAATTATGTTCTCAGTGATGTAAGCCATATCCAAATCAAATCCTCCCTCCTATGAAGTGATGATGTTCCATCCGATTGTTCATGAATGCACAATCAGAAAATCACGGAGGAGCACATCAGCAAGCAATTGCACATAGGCAAAATTATCACGAGAACAAGAAGTTTCCTTCAGAAAAAATGATGGAGCTACCTGATATCTGCGTTTATTTTGAGAAACAGCATGGCGAGCTTTGACCTGGATCGCCTTGACGGCACTACGAGATGAGTCGACTAAGCCCTTCGTCAGAGATTCAAGAACACCGCCCTGTCCAGCTGTTGTTGCACTGCCTTGAGAAGCCTCTTCTGGTCCAGAAGCCATTGCGGAGAGACGCAACCCGATGCCACTAGTAATACGAGAAAGTGTGGAAGCAGCAGGACTCGTAGCCACGGAGTCCTGTGGCGGCGTCGGCGCAGGCAAACTTGTATTCGAATCATTACATTCCACAGCTGTAGCTCGTGGTTCTTCAGCAGGACGATCGCCTGCAGTTCCAGTTGGAACCGAGGGCTCAGCGTTAGAAGATTTGTCAGAAGAATCGACATTCGAAGCTATCACAATAGGCTCTGCAGTGGAGGTTGGCTTTGCAGGAGGAGGTTGCGCTGACGAAGACGAGTCGGCAGATTCTGAATCCATCATGATTGTAGCTCTCAATAACTATAACAATTAGGAAATAACTTTAACTGTCGTAGCATCCAGTTCGAGATTTTCTGCAACAAAAACAGATACCAATTTCAAGATTTTCCGGCAGAGAAGCAATATCCAAACCTTCGGATTCAACAATAACCACAATGCGGTTCGACAAATTGTTCAAATTCTTCTACCATCTATAACAATTTAAAAAACGTAAGCTCTCAAGAAATGCGATTCAGAGTTCTCGACATTGCCGCGGTAGTTGCAGCTTGTTCAACAAATGATTCGTGAAACTTTCAGCCTCTGAATTCTCCCGCCCCGAATCCATGGCGGGATGAGATCCAAGAACAAACTCTGATAAGCTAAGTGCCAAAAAGAATCGAAGAAGCAAGCAGCATCAATGGCGGAAAAGAATGCGAGTGTATTCCATCGAATTCGAATCACAACACTCACCAGGAATTTGAAATCCTCCAGTTAGATCCTGCGCCTTGAGGAAAGAAAGAGAAAACGAACTGAACTGAAGAATTTCTCCAGGAAAAAAAAAAAAAGGAAATAACGCGGAAGTTCCAATCTTGCTCGTCTGGTTTTACTTGGACTGCCCTTTGATACTGGGCCTATTTGGGCTTCGTAGCGAATGGGCGATAGAATTTGAATGTTGGCCGAACGGTTCAGCCCGGACCCGTAGGAGAGACACGTCGACGGCACAAAATCGTTGGAAGAGCAGACCTATGGAAGAAATCAAGACGTTCAAGAAAAGACCATTTCCCCTATCTAACAACCTGGCGAATTAGTTCCGGAGAGCCATAGACGGCGAACCCTCGGCGGAGAATAAGTAGAAAAGCCGGCGAACGGGTAATTCAATCGGGAAATCAAACTCTACAGAGGGACGGAGAGAGAGGGAGATAGAGCCTGTTGTTGTTGCTGGGCGCATGGAGACCGCACAGCAGCCCAGCGGCGGAGGAGCCCTAGCTGGAGATGATCTCGCGTCCCTGTCGTCGTCCCCCGCAGCCGTCGTCTCGCAGTGGACGTTCGCCGTCACGCGGCGGTACCAGCACATGCTGGACAAGACGGTGCCGCACATCTGGTACCGGTGGATCGGATGCTTCCTGGCCGCTCTAATCTACGGATTGCGTGTCTACTTCGTTCAGGGTTTCTACATCGTTACCTACGGCCTTGGAATCTATATGCTCAACCTGTTGATTGGATTCCTCTCGCCGCAGATTGATCCGGAGGTCAGCGACGGGCCCTCGCTCCCCACGCGCGGATCCGATGAGTTCCGTCCCTTCGTCCGACGCCTCCCCGAGTTCAAGTTCTGGTACAACTTGCTCGTGAAATCTACCGTTCTACTTTGACCTAGGATTGGGCATAATCATTTCCTTAGTGTTGTTCGGGTTCCTGATTCGATTTACTTCATTTATCCCTATTCTTTTGGTTCTGTCTTCGAGTAATTGATCTGCTTCGTCTATTTCCTTTGTATCGTTCTATTTGTGTGCATTTTGATTGCCAAAATGTTGGGTCCTATCAGAAACTGTGGTTCTTTTCTGTTTCTGATTCTTTTGCAGCTGTTTGTTGGCCATTTCTACCATGGCTATAGAACTGCATACTAGGTGTCTGAGGAAATGCATCAAAGAGATTGCTTTCTTTGGTTGAACAATATACTTGTAGCTTTCTTTGGGGATATTTTGTTGCATTGGATATTTAACCCTTACCCATTTTGAACAGAGGGATTCGGTCTGGGTGGCTGGTAGGCTTTATCAGCTGATTACATTGTGGAAATTAATCTGAGATAGCCAAATATCTTCTAGTTGTCTTCGCTTTTCCATGTCTGGCTTTCTGTTCTTCGATTTCTTCTTCTGATAGATTCATTACAGGTGCTCACATTTGTAGTTCTAGATGAGGGAGAAGTTTAATACCGCCATCATTCTTTGTTTTCTGGAATTATGGTTAACTTTTATGTATCTTATTCCTACTTTTGTGTCCATGAAGGTACTCTATTACCAAGGCTTTCTGCATTGCGTTTTTCATGACATTCTTCGCTGTGTTTGATGTGCCTGTGTTCTGGCCTATACTTCTATTCTACTGGATCGTGCTGTTTGTCCTCACAATGAGAAGACAGATTATGCATATGGTCAAATACAAATATGTTCCTTTTTCTTTCGGCAAGCAGGTATGTCCCAGTTTCATCCATTGTTCACTAGATCTATGCATCTAATTCTGAATAATTAGCTGCCGTTTGTGCACCAAAGAGTAAAGATGATTAATTGACAGTTAGTTTGGTTATTCTCTCTCATCAACAGCGATATGATGGAAAGAAGACACCATCAAGTGATAACCTCACCAGGGATTGAATGCCTCAGGTATAACTTCTCTATATCATAACTCTATAGATGAAGTGGGATTCCTTTCTACTTACGTCTGAATCAGATTGACAAATGCCAACAAGCTCTGAGTTGTTTCTTGTGGAACCTTTTTGTTTGCAGGTTGAGAATCTAGATGGGGAAAAGGTGGGGTTTGTTCCTAATCCTAGGCATTGATCGAGGGGTCTAATTTTGTTTCCCTCATTTGATTTTAATTTTCTGTTTCATTTATGTATACTCGTTGATATGGCACCACTGTGAATCTTTATATATCTATACTAGTTAGAGAAGCATAAGGTGAATTCTCTAAAGTCAGATTCGGCATCCTTGTTAATCGTAATGTGATTGATTTACCCAGTTGATGAACTTAAGAGTTAAGATGTAAAGAATCTTTAGTATTTGTTATATTCAGGATGGCTCTTTTCAGAGTTTTTAGATCAGAAAGCAGCACCGATTTGTAGGATAGTTGTTTCAAAGCATGGTTGAATTGAGCTGATTCAGCAGCAAACATTTGTTTTCAATTTGGTTTGCATATATAAGTCCCAGCCTTGCATTTCCTTTATACTAAGACAATGTAGGTTCTGCTTTCTGTATACTGAGAAAAAGAGGAGAAAGATAAGGTAGAGGTAGGGATTGCATTCGAGTGTAATTCTCGTGTCATACATACAATCATTATTTAGAGTTAATACAATGGAATTTAGGGGTTACTGTGGGATTTTGATTAATACTTCATCTTTACAACCCCGTATTTAACCATGAGGCACTTTTATGTCCGGTTTGAACGTTAAGCAGTGTTTTTATCAATGCTATTAAAATAGAATTGAACCTGCCAATATCGAACTGGTAAATAGTTTCCGTTAAACACGTATATGTATTTATGTACGTATTTTATTCATTTAATACTTCCATATTTGTATTATTGTCAAGCGGTTTCATTTTTCCCCGTTCATTTGATGGCTCTCGTACTGAACACGTACAAAACTCGTCTAACACGTTTAATATATGTATTTAATAAATTAAAATGTTAACTTTACTATTATTTATATATTTATTTTAAAAATAATTAAATTTATATATATTTATGACTATTAACGTACTATTAAACGTAACATTAGCGTAGAAATGAAGTAAAATATCCGTACGTATTTTACTAACTATGGATAACAATATTGTTAATTAACCTAAACCATCCACATCCCCATTTCCATATAACCAAACTACACCCGCCCCATTAACCATACATACCGCCCGGGGGGGGGGGGGTTACCTTGTCCTCATACCTCTGATTTTCAGATACTCGGGTGGGTAATACCTAGCGCGGATATACAATATGACAATACCTTAAATTCAACATGCTGACCGACAATTATTACACGAAATTCACATTATAAGTCATGAAATCAACAAAGCTATAAGTACAATCATTCTTAATACGAATTCATAAACATCCAATCTTAAAACATTTATTAATCCATAAAAAAGTATGATACTAACCAAATCATTGATCTCAGACTTTGATACATTGTACTAATCAATAAATAACTAACATAATCTTGTTAACAGAGGAAAAGAAGTGAAAGAGTGAATGGAGGGAAATAAATTAATGTTTTGTTTGAGTGGCCACTCAGTTACATTTCGGTTCTTTATTTTTTGAATTACTGTTCTTTTCATTGAGAAATTAGAGTATGATCCCTATATTTCTATATACGAAGAAATAGTATTGGTCGAGCATGTATGGGTATCAGGGTATGGGTCAGGGAAGTCTAAAATCATACCCGCTACATCTCGGGAAAAAAATCCAAATGTAACATCGTTAATTTTTTTTTTTACAAAACTACCACCCAACCCAAAAAATTTATAAAACTATCACCATTAATCTAAAACCACACCTCGAAGGGGCGGTTCTCCCTCAAATCACGCAGGGAAGGAGCGGTTCCCGCTAGGGCAGCGGAAAACCTCACCACCATGTGGCGGCCCATGCAACTGTGCGATAGGGAGGCGATCTGACGGCGAACCGCACGCCAACGAAGTGATCCGCGTCTGGTTGCAATAACTGTTCCTTGAGGGCGCGGTTTACGCTGCGGGAAGAGAAAATCGTGGGAGGGGGGCGCGGTTTCCTTTTGGGGAAAATTACCAAACCACCCCCACCAGGCGGTCCATACACTATAAATACTCCCCTCCTTTCATTTTTTTCACACCAAAACCAATCCCCCTCTCTCTAAGTTTATCACTCTACCCCATCCCCCTCTCCATCCAAAAACCTAGGAAATAGCGGTCTGTTAGTTGCGGCTAAGTCTGAATTGCCATCAGAAAACTTTTCTTTTGTTTTTCCTTCAAAACCTGTCGAATCCATGTCCGGCTTCCTAAAAAAATGGGTGGATGTTTTCGAAGAAGAGGGTATTTATTATGATGACTATCAATCGGTACGTACTCATCTTACCTAAATTTTGTTGTTGTTATAATTGTTGTATTTAATATGTATACTAATTTAAGTTGTTTTTATGCTATCGTAGGTTGGGGAGGACGTGGATATATACAATCGAAGATATTATGTTGATCAAGGACTGATTGTCCATCTATGCTATACCAAGATAATCATCGTTCAATGGATGTTTGGAACGATCACAAGGTACATATAATTTATTATCATTTGTCAATTATTATTTTGTTAACGTAAAATAAATTTGTTAATTGTTAATCATCGTTCAAGTGGATTATAAAATAAATTTGTTAATTGTACTGATCATTTTCAATTGTTTAGAATAAATCAATTTGCCACTTATTTAGACTCTTTATAAAGAGATGCATGCCTAAGAAAATGGGGTGTTAAGAGATCACATGATCCTCCCATTACCTGGGAAAATCGGGTATTAAGAGATCCTCAGATCCCCCCTTTTCTATCAAAAAGGCTGTGTTTCTAAGGAGATGTATACCTCTCATAAGAGTCTAACGAGTGTACTTGTATTGTTTTAAATTATTGAAAACAATCAAATCGATTTACAAAATAATATAATGAATTTTAGTTAACTCCATATGTTTGTTAATTTATATTGTTTCTTATAATAGATTTAATTATTATAAATAATAAACTTATGGTAACTTTAAATGATTCGCTAGGATGCATACCATATAGTCCGCTATAGGGGTACGAGCGATGTGCTCGCATGGAACGACGTCATCTTGCCCTTTCTAAAAAGGGCAAAGTTGGATACGATTATGCATTTTAATGGGATAAAGATCAACCGCCAACTCATCACAACATTGTTGGAGAGGTGGCGGAAGGAGACACATTGCTTCAACTTTCTTAAAGGCGAGATGACGATAACACTGAATGATATCGCCATCCTAACTGATTTGCCCATCGATGGCGACGTTGTGTGTATGGACTCTCATGCACCAGATAAAGTTGGAAATATGAGCGGTTGACAACATTTGATATGGACAACGACGAGGTTGACAGTGCTAGAAAAGGGAGAACATGATGAGGAGGGTCATCCACCATTGACCAAGGGCCAATGTTCCATCACTTGGTTGACAGCGGCGATCAAGCGTAAGCACAACCCTGATGATGGAAGCATTCCCCTCACGGCGGAAATTTTGGACGAGGACAAGGAAATTTATGCATGTGTCTACCTCATCGGCATGATCAGTGGAGTTTTCTTCCCAAAAAAATTCAACAACTTAATCAGCAATGGATGGTTGAAGATCCTCCTTGGAGATTGGGATTCTATGGGGAACCTGACTTGGGCATCCACTTGCCTAGCTAATATAAATCGCTCCCTCTGTAATGCAAGTGGGAAAGGGATGAGTGATATTGATGGGGCGATGTTCATCGTCCAATTTTGCGCTTGGGAGCATCTGCCATGGATTGCGCCGGTCGTAAAGCCCGACAAGGAATGGGAACCCGACCATCTCCTAAGACTCGAAGCTTATTGTAACACCTTAGGCAAATCCCACATCGACAAAGCACAGGAGAGATCCATGGTACATAAGTAGAAAACCGGCCTTAGCTGACAATACGCGTTTTGGGGTGAAGCGGAGGAGTTCTTGTGAGAACTCTGAAGTTAAACGTGCTCAGTGTGGAGTACAACAAGGATGAGTGACCTTATGGGAAGTCACCTTGAATTGCACCCTAAGTCGAAAACCGTGAGGGTGTGGGCCCAGAGCGGACAATATCTTCGTTGGGAAAAGGTTCCGGATGTTACAAGTGGTATCAGAGCCTCTCTGCGTCCCTCTTGAACGATGGTGGGGCAAACCTCAACGAGGACGTTGAGTCCCAAAAGGGGGGGGGGGTATTAACACCTTAGGCAAATCGCATAATGACAAAGCACGGGAGAGATCCATGGTTCATAAGTAGGAAACCAACCTTAACTGACAATACGCATTTTGGGGTGAAACAGAGGAGTTCTTGCGAGAACTCCGAAGTTAAACGTGCTCAGTGTGGAGTACAACAAGGATGGGTGATCTTATGGGAAGTCACCTTGAATTGTACCCCAAGTTGAAAACCGTGAGGGTGTGGGCCCAAACCAAACAATATCTTCGTCGGGAAAAGGTTCGGGATGTTACACTTATGGTTGTAGGTAAACTTCTCCGATCCCACTCATATCTCCACTCCTTTTTTTTTACTACTTCATTATTTTGTAGTTGAATTTTTAGTATGTTTTAACATTGAATAATTTGATCCATGCATAAGGTGGCTTGGTCAAACAACATGCGACAACCTTGTCGAGCACAAACTAGAAGAGTACCGTAGGAGGTCGGATCATCTTTGGGAAGCAGAGGTAACAATCATACTACTTCTACTTTCTTTGATATTTTTGAAGTTGTTTAATATTTTTATTAATTGTTCAATTTGGTATCCATCATGGTAGGTCGTTTTCGACTCGTATCCAGAGAACGTCGTTCACCATCACGTCCACAAATTCCCGTTGCATCCACATCAATGGTGCACGCGAGTCCCACTGATCTGTCACCATATATTGGAGTGGTACTTGCCGGATCGATGTTTACGACAATTTGGACGTGAGCAGTGCATGCCCATTGAGGTCCCTGCCAGTCAAAGGGCTTACCACGGGAAAGATGGTCGCCAAGGAGCTACTAATTGGACGCATGAGCTGAGGGACTACATCAAGATTTGGAATAGTAGGCAAGATGAAGATATTGTCACTCCAGCTATGGTGGGGCGGATGTGATATCATGACCCATACCTGGAAACATACCGAAGACAATCTTTACGGTACATGACGCTTGATGGTGCGACGAACAATGTTATATATCATTACTTTAACTTCGTTACATTAATTCATTTATTTAACTTTTGGTGTCAAATTGGTAGGCTATATATCATTACTTTAAGATGGCTAACTTTGTTAATTGTTTCTGTTTAGGTTGATGGGCTCGAGCGTATTCACAGTATAACTCGTACTATGAATGATTTGCCTAGGCGAGATGTGGGGATCATCCGTAAGATAACGAACAGTCTCCTAGGTTGTGTTAGAGTACGTGGGCGTGACCATCACAGATACCTGCCGATGCCCCCTTTGCCTACACCCGAGGTAACGCCACATGTCCCAAACTCGCCCCCACCGTACAAGAGAAGGCAATACAAGACTGTTAGGGACCGACCTCATGTGCCCGAGATCAAACCGATTGAAGTGTGGCGCGTGCCTACTCCGCTGTAAGTGTACCATGGGCCGAGTACTCAGCAACATCCCCGGTCGAGTTTCCAGTATGAGCCCAGGCCGAGTACGCAGTATGAGCCCAGGCCGAGTACGCAGTACGATCCCCGGTCGAGTTTTCAGTACGAGCCACGAACGAGTACGATCCTAGGCCGAGTTGGCAGTATGATCCCCAACCGAGTTGGCATTACGACTCGAGTCCTCGCAGCCTCGACTGAGTTGGCTGTACGATCTCCATCCGAGTACGTTCAATGACTGCACATCATCGGCTATTTGGCAAGACGGTCTTCTCCACGAGTGCCCCTCAAGACTTCCAGCCTTTGCCAAGACCTCAGTCTCAATGGCCTACCAATCCCCACCGTATGAGTGTGGATGGGAGCCGTCCGCACACGGATGGGACACCAAGCACTGCACCTCGTCGCCATAGCACGGCCGAGCGCCCTACCACTGCACCTCAATCTCTGCCACCGCGACCAACCACTGCTACACCACAAGGACTAGTCGCTCATCGTACAAGGAAGCAAAGGGCGGCTAGGCGAGCGAATGCATCATGTGGTCTACTTGTAGTGTCATTTTTTGTGTTAAATAAGTTGTGACATTTTCAAGTCGTGTTTTATTTGGTGGTTTGTTTATTTTGTTTTAAGTTGCTCAGTTGGAATCTACTTGACATATTTAGGTCGATTATGCAAAAATACAATGACTTTGAACTCACACAAAAGCCAACTACATAATATGAAAACAACGTATGAAAATGATAATGATGATCTATGCGCCCATATCTGGGACTACATCGCCGGGCCCTGAATTTTGAGGACCAATTGGTCCAGGACATTTTTGTTTATCATGTCCTTGAATTTTGAAGATGGAACACCGACGTGGCCCTCGCGGTGGTGTGATAATTTGATCAATCTCATTGGGAATCCCCTTTACCCTAGGCCGACCTGTCTCAGCAGTAGTCCGATTGGTGGGATTATGACCTTTCCTTCATACACTGGACAGTAAGCTTCATTCGACAAAGCACATAAACTCATTCCATACGAGCTTTTGAGTGAATCGATGTTGAAGTATGGACTAACCAAGTAACGGGGTCTTTGCTTCTGTGCTTGATTACGACCATTGCATAGAATAAGGGAAAACTCTCCCCTGATAGTTCTGGCAAGAGCAATCTCCTTGTTTTGTCATGAAGTTGATCTTAACGTCATGTCGATTCCCCCCACGTCTCCCATCCTCCCAGTGCCCAGTCTCGACTGAAAACTCATCAGCATTGTGATTCATAACGGTTACAGTGTGCCGAGAGCTCTTCTTGTTGTCCTTTTCCATAATTTTTGTGCTTTATCAGAGTGCACCTTACCATGTGCCTCCCTCTTTGCAGCCTAATGGAGTCGATTGACGAACCAATGGTTCGTTTTCCAAAAATTCATCTCCACAATGGTAGAGATTGGCAGTGCATGAACTCCCTTGTAGACGTTGTTGATACTCTCACTTGAGTTTAATGTGGCAATATCCCACCTGGTTCCTCCGTCTTTATGAAAAGTCCACATGACTAGGTCATGTTGATCCAGCCACAGCTCACCTTCAGGACATAGATCACGGATCTTCTGCAGCTTGTCTTTGTTTTTTTCTCCTCGTAGGCTACAACTGATGAATATACAGAAAGAAGCGTTAGGTAAGTCTTTAGCCATATTGAGCGATTTCAATATTTTAAAGCAATACAAGTACACTCGTTAGACTCTTAGGAGAGGTATACATCTCCTTAGAAACACATCCTTTTTGACAGAAAAGGGGGGATCTGAGGATCTCTTAATACCCGATTTTTCCAGGAGATGGGAGGACCACGTGATCGCTTAAACTCCTTCTCCTTAGGCATGCATCTCTTTATAAACAGTCTAAAGTAGTGTGAAGAAAAATACTTCACCAATGAAATAGAACGCTTATCGGTCCACCATAGACTATCAGCAAGCTTCCTCCGCTTGAAATGATGGTCCCAATTGCTCTGGAAGTGCCGTATGCACTATCTCTATGACCACTTCCAGGCTAGATCCAAGCCTAAGATGGCAGCCCTAATCCCGACGTGGTGATCATGGATGATTGTTAGGTTCGTCCGCCTGGTGACGTGGAGTTGAATTTGTCTGAAGAACCATCCATAGTTGTCGATATTCTCTCCCTCAACAATGGCAAAGGATAATGAAAAGACACGTATGTTTGCATCTACTCTGCTGGCGATGAGTAGAGTACCCCTTGTACTTGCCGGTAAGGAATGTTCGATCCACTTGAATCACAGGAATACAGAATGGAAAACCAGCAATAGATGACTTGAATGACAAGAAAAAATGCTTGAAATGGCGTTTGTTACCTGGCTCCGACGACATAATTTCTTCATCTTGGTAGCGGGAAAACAGTGCCAAGGTTAGACACCTCCAATGCCAAAATCAATTAGGGAAGGAATGCATATGATTCTTCCCAGTCACCAAACACGACGGTCATTGCTTTCTGTTTTCCATGCCATGCCTTCTTGTAGTTAATAATATATTCATAACGACTAGAAATGTCGGCGATGATGGTTTTAATCTTCCGATCTGGCCTTGGAATTTTATGGATGACACACATGTGTGAGTGTTCACCGCACGGGATATGACCCAATGGTCGACTCTCTTACTCTTGACGGACCAGACCCTAGCCTTGCATCCCTCGTGATGATTTTGATTCTTTCGAAGTCATTGGATTCTTTTCCTCGTTCGAGAAGCTCCT